TATTCTGTTGTAAACCGCGTTGAGTCGCCAGTTAGGCTGAGAAACGGCGGTATACAAGGACAGTAAATAAAAATAATAAAATAAATATAATAATATAATATAATATAGTTGTTGTTTGTTTTATCACACCAACAGTCAACAACAGAGGGGGAGGGAAGCTTCAGAAGTTCCCCCTGTCCCGTTTGGAGGTTTTTTTAGTGAGCTTAAAAGAAGCTATTATAAAACCGCTGTTGAAGAAACCATCACTGGATCCCACTCAATTTGACAACTATCGGCCAGTTTCCAATCTCCCCTATTTGGGCAAAGTCATGGAACGTGTGGTGGCAACACAACTCCAGGGGTTTCTGGTAGACACTGATTATCTGGATCCGGCACAGTCTGGCTTTAGACCGGGACATGGAACGGAAACAGCCTTGGTCGCCTTGGTAGATGATCTACGCAGGGAACTGGACAGGGGGAGTGTGTCCCTGTTAGTTCTGCTGGACCTCTCAGCGGCCTTCGATACCGTTGATCACGGTATCCTTCTGGGACACCTCATGGACATGGGTCTTGGGGGTACTGCTCTGCGGTGGCTCCGATCCTTCCTTGAGGGTCGGTCCCAGAAGGTGTTATTGGGTGACACCTGTTCGGCCCCACAGCCGTTGTTGTGTGGAGTCCCACAGGGTTCGATTCTGTCCGCAATGTTATTTAACATCTACATGAAGCCGCTGGGAGAGATCATTCGGAGTTTCGGAATGAGATGTTATCTCTATGCAGATGATGTCCAGATCTGTCACTCCTTCTCACCTGTCACCAAGGAGGCTGTCCAGACCTTGAACCGGTGTTTAGCCGCTGTATCGGACTGGATGAGAGCTAACAAATTGAAATTGAATCCAGGTCCTACTGGTCAGTCATAAGGCCGAACAGGGCATAGGGTCACAGCCTGTTCTGGATGGGGTTACACTCCCCCTGAAGACGCAGGTTCGCAGCTTGGGAGTGATCCTGGACTCATCGCTGAGCCTGGAACCCCAGGTCTCAGCGGTGGCCGGGAGAGCTTTTGCGCAATTAAAACTTGTGCACCAGTTGCGCCCGTACCTCGGGAAGTCTGATCTGGCCACGGTGGTCCACGCTCTTGTTACATCCCGAATAGACTACTGCAATGCGCTCTATGTGGGGTTGCCCTTGAAGACTGTTCGGAAACTTCAACTAGTCCAGCGAGCGGCAGCCAGATTACTCACCGGAGCGACATACAGGGAGCATACCACCCCCCTGCTGTGCCAGCTCCACTGGCTGCCGATTCAGTTCCGAGCACAATTCAGGATGCTGGTTTTGACCTACAAAACCCTGTACGGTTCCGGTCCAGTGTATCTGTCCGAACATATCTCCCTCTACTTCCCACCTCGGAGTCTGAGATCATCTGGGGAGGCCCTGCTATCGACCCCACCACTGTCACAAGTGAGGCTGGTGGGGACGAGGAGCAGGGCCTTCTCAGTGGTGGCCCCTCACCTGTGGAACTCACTCCCGGGGGAAATCAGGGCATCACCATCCCTCCTCGCCTTGAGGAGGAGGGTGAAGACTTGGTTATGGGACCAGGCCTTTGGGCATGCTGGCAATTAAATCAGACAACCAGGCGAGTAAGACCAGCAGGATTGATGAAGTGGAACGTAAAACTAGATCTATGAGTAGCGAACGCTGACCATGTAAGAGGAGAAACTGGGTTTGTATTTGGTTTTATTGATTTTATGGTTATAATGTATATTTGGTGATAACTGTGTATTGATGTAATTTTGTGTTGATTGTTTTTAGTGCCTTGCTTTTGTAAGCCGCCCTGAGTCCCCTTCGGGGTGAGAAGGGCGGGGTAAAAGAACCCCAAATAAATAAATAATAAATAAATATCGCGCAACCGCGTCCGCCATTAACGAATCAATTCGAAATTTACAAAATTTCGTAAATTTCGAAATTTTTTAAAGAAAAAAATTTGGAATTCTTTAAAAAAAACCAAACGCAATGGACCCCTAAAAACGAAACAAATTTTTCCGTTGTTACCCAAGCCTAGTCAGCTGTGAAAGGCCAGCCTGCTTAGATCTGGACTCATTATTCGCCAATACATCACAGTCCTAGACATTTGGGAAGTGTCCGAAATAGGATCCAATACAAAAGTCAGCAGAGTGACCTTGTTTGCTATGAACTAATCTTGTTGTGCAATAATAATAATAATAATAATAATAATAATAATAATATGCAAATGCTTTTATGTTAAGCCGTTTTGTCTCTTGCGGAAGAGATAAAGCGGGGTGTAAATAAATATAACCGCAACAGTGTGTAGACGGGGCTCCTCTGAGCGCTGTCGTTCATGGAGTTCCGGCAATCTTTTCCCGTTGGAGCCGCATGCTTCGCCGCTGCCCGCATTGCTGAGCAGACAGAAATAGCTTTGCAACCTGAGACCCAACGCTGTTTTAGTGCAGCCGCTCGGTCAGAAATACCCCCAAACGGGGAAGGAGCCGTGCCTCGCAAAACGACCGGGCTGGATGATTAAAAAGGTGACGAGAGTCGTCCCGTCGGGGCCCGAAGCCGTTCTGATGAACCCCTTCGACTAGGATGCCAAACTCCGGGTTCACGGATATGGTCGATGGCTGCAAGTTCATCCCAAGTCATAGGATGGTGTTGAGTGATTTTGGACGTTTGCAGAGGAGTCTCTGACCCTCTCCCGGCTTGCAAGAAAGGTATGCGGTTCCGGGACAGTGCCACGGGCGGAAAGTGGCATAGGCATGTCAAATCATTCATCTGTTTGCATTTGTAGTTTTCCCTTTCGTGAAGGTCCGGTGCCCTTCGCCCCAACAAATGTGGAAGGCCGGCTGTGATGCCTGTGTTTGGTTTATTGATGTCAATCTGTATGTACATTTAAGTCAACATGTGATGATGACAATAATAATAGTTATGGGTGCAATGTGATGCTTGTAACATCTATATATATAAAAATGCTCACGTCGTAATGAGTGGCTTAAAAACAAAAGAACCGCTGGGCCAATACTTACCAAATTTGGCAACCAAACTCCTCACCATACAAGGTGTATAATTATAATAATTATGGATGCATTGTGATGCTTGTAGTATAGCTGTATATAGTAATACCTGTATGGATTGCAACTGCATGCACATTTAAGGGTAACAGGTGATAATATTATAATGACAATGAAAATAATAATAATAGTAGTAGTAGTAGTTATGGACACGATTGATGCTTGTAGCATAGCTGTATATAGTAGTGCATATATGCATT